TTTTACCAGTATGATCTGGTTCTAAACTGTTTTTCCTTTGATCAGATAGTGTGAGTAGTAAGTGCTGCCTCACCGTTTCTCTTCCTGTCCCTGTGGCGGGATGTCCTTGCAGCTGACACACATACAGTAGGCCTGTGTGAGAGTAGCCAGGTCACCAGCTAGTGTCATCCTGTGTATGATCACGCTGACACTGTGGTACCTGTCATATTGCTGCAGTGGCACAATTACACAACCTATCTCTGGGTGTCTGTGGTGCGCCTGTGCAGCATCAGGAGAATGAGTCTCTGATAAAATTGGGTTGCAGACCTATTAAACATATGTGACTACTGTAAATAAAATAAAATTAAAATCATACATTTAAAGTGAAAACATATACTTCTCACCATAAAATATAATATTATATTCATATAAGTTACAATTGCAAATTATCCATACTTAAATGTTTATTTTAAAGGTCCCATATTATACAAAATCCACTTTTGCATGTATTTTCAACCTAAATATGTGTCCCTGGTGTGGTCAAAGACCCTCATCCTCTCTCTTTTTCTCTTTCAGTAAATGTGTGTGCAAGCACACTGTTAGAATTTGCCTCTATTCTTGACGTCAAGAATGGATCTGTTTAGCATATCCTCCAGCCCTTTAGCGCAGTAGACGACCGCGCCCACTGTACACGTACTGAATACACCCCTCTCAGTCCAAAACAACACCACGCGGTCATTCCATCGCTGAGCTAGAGCTGGAGTTGGTTCAGTATGTCTCGCAGAAAGTGCAGCTGGAGGACATCCGATGAAAAAACGGGAAATATTTTCTCCATAAAATATGATCCAGTTTCACTGGTTTATTCATTTTGAATAAAGTTATAAAGTTGTGTTTTTGTACAGAAATCATTGAGGCCTAGTCTCATGTAACCAGACCTGTCTCCACCTATTGATTCAACCTGCTCCTTTTGCAGGTCTTCAGGAAGTTGGCCAAACAGAAGAATGTGGGCTTTTAGGGAGGGAGGCCTAAAGTAACAGTCAGATAGAGGGTGAATGGACAGACAGTGTTATGGCTGAAAATTGTGTCCTCTCACATTTAATCTTTTATTTATTATTATTACTATTATTGTTATGTCTTATAGATATATATGTATTGTGTTTTTATCCTTAACCTTTGCTTCTTCTATACTCCTTATGTTAGTCTATCCACATTTACTAGGGTTTAGGTCAAAGCTGTGAGATTGTTTTGGTGTTTTCCCTCTCGTCTCATCTCTGTTACCCAAAACATAGAAACCTAGACTGTGTAAATGATGATGCCTCCCTTTGCTCGGGGGCCAGACGCCCAAAGCGGCCCTAGGCAGCAGGTCTCTGGACCAGCTGTATACTGTTGGTTGTTACTCAATTATTTGCTTAATCCATCACCAGCAAGATACAATTTCCACGACAGACAGTATGAAAAAGAATGTGTTTTTTGAACATTAAAGCATGTAAACATTTTCTAGTAGAAACCCAAAATAAAACCCAACCCAAAATAACGAGCCTGAAAATCAGCATAATACGGTGAGAAGCAAGCACGAGCCATTGGCATTCCAACATTTGGTCCCCAAATATATTGTAAATAAACTTAGATTTTTTATATTTTCATTTTAATTTATATAAATAGATGCACAAATGAATGAATAAATAAAAGCGATAAGGGGGGGGTGATATCTCTCTATAAACTAGTGTGAGACTAGAACAGAAATTGGTCATGACGATGTGTACGTTCCCTGAGAGGAGAGGTGTTACTGTTGTGATGATGACATGCAGAGAGTCTTAAGCTAAGTGTGTGTTGTTGTATGAACAGCACAGATAGGTAAATACTGATTGTGTAAAGCTTTACAATGATGCGTATAGTGTGTTTAGTTTCCATTAGGCTGCATTATTGTTTATACTGAGCTGAAACACAACAACCCTCCACCACCCTGCCCTGATACTGGACAGTATGGTGAATTATAAACAAGACAAGGAAGTAAGAGGTTGCTTAGCAACTGGAACACAGCAGGTAATAAAAAACATTATACAATAACAGACCTCTGAGCGTTGGTTTAACAGATGCTCTCAGTTGCTCTCTGTTTTGCTAACTGGTTTCTCCTCCCTTCCAGCTCTGTTCATATTCACTGTTTTACTTTAGCTTGAAATAATTCAGACATGGTGTAGGTTTTCTTGTATTTTCACACATACAGACTCAAGCATAACCCCAAGCTGTTTGCAGTAAAACTAGAGCTATTCTCTGTCGTTGTCCATACAGATAGGCCTTATCCGGCTGCTTCATTCAGCCAGAAAGGTGCTGACCAGCATGACTTTGACCTTAAGAGTTCCTGTCTTTAAGGACACAATATTTTTTTCTAAGCATTTAATGTTTTTCACTGTATTTTCACATATACAGTTAAAGACTAAATAACTTTATGTAGACTACATTGTGCATTGATTTGAATAATGGCGTGCAGGCTGTGATAGCAGGTTCATATGTTTTGAATTTTGGTGGTGGTTAAAGCTTTTGTTTATTTTAAATCACGAATTGTGCCTTTTAATGAATTGTTGGAAAAAGGGCTCATGTTACTTAATACCTGGTGTACACTAGAGAATATTAAATATTTATTTATTTGCTATTTTTGGGGCATTTTCTAGCCTTTATTTGATAGGACAGTGAATAGAGCGAGGAAATGAGGGAGAGAGAATGGGGACGACACGCAGCAAAGGGCCACAGGCCGGATTCAAACCCAGGTCGCTGCAGTAAGAAAGTCTTGTACGTGGGGTGCTCGGTCTACCAGAGATAACTGGATTGTCAGATCTTAAACAATTTTTAAATAATGAAAGAATTAACTATTTTAATCTTAAGAACACACACACCAGACAATTCAGTCAAGACGCAGGACCGCAGACTTTGCGTTTATACTTAACAATTTCAGAGTGGCGGTTCCAGGTCTTGGGATCTCACAGAAACTTGCGTGATCAAACATGACTTCAGACACAAACAAAGATGGAGGCAGACTGTCGTTGTCAGCTAGTTGCATTTGTATGTGCTATGTTTTGCACAGAAAAACAAAAAAAGAGAATTAAACTGATGAACCAATGAACTAATGGCTGAGAAGAGGGAATGGCATGGTTTATACATTTTTAGGAAGGGCTAACTGGACCTAAAATTGTCCCAATTATCCTCTAGTGTGTTGCCGTGTGCACACATGCTCATATAGAGCATGTGGGGCCGGGACTGACCGACAGATTTCATTGTTTTGAAGTGGAGCCTAGTGGTAGTTGTAGAGTAGTGTAATATATTCACACACACAGCGTATCGCAACTTGTTAATCAATTTAACAAGACAAAATTAATTTTGTTAGAATCACAAATTTATATAATTAAGTAGTTGTGTTTTGGTTTTACATGCCTTTCTAGCCACAGCGAAAAGGCTCTGATAAACCCGCTTTACACCACAAATGGCAGACAGACAAACTAAGCTACTAGAATATGGTTAACTTATGTACGGAATCAGAAAAATCAAACAAATTATACGATTAATAAAGTGTAAGCATTGATCATAAATGTTGTCTGAGCTGTAGCCTTCTAACCATTTTGTTGTTTTAGTTAGAAGTAAAGCTAAACCTTGCTATGTAGGTTAGCTTTTACCTAACACATAACATTAGTTAACTTGTTATCTTTAATGATTGCTAATTAAGTAATACCTGTACTCTTTGTGTTGGTGTGTGATAGATTTTGTTTAAAAACACGGTAGTTTGCCTTGTCTTTGTAGAACAATGTAACATTGTGAGATCTGCAGTCCTCAACAGTCCTAAGATGCAAGCTGCAAGGTTTAACTTTGCTTCTAAGACAACAAAACCGCAAGTAGGCTAAAGCTCAGACAACAAATGATCGATACTTACTTTATTAATCTTGAAGCAGTCCTGTTTCCAGCAAAGTTTCATGTGTTTGGGGAGTCAAAACTGCTTGCTGCACTGAACAATGTCTGGGAGACTGTATGACTGTTTCTGATTTCAATTCAGTTTTGTTTTACTTACTTTGCTGAGTGGGTTTGCTCGTTTCAGTTAAGTGTTATTGTTTAAAACTGTTTAGTTTTACTTTAGCTTTTATTAGTTTCAATGTTCTTTTTAGTTTTTTAACTTATAAAATGTGGGGGTATTTGTCAGGTGCAAGATTCAAGAAGTTCAGAGGAGGTATTATACAAATAAAACACTTTGTGAAGGCAATTGACTGAGTCATGTAGACATCCAAGTTCTCATGCTTGTTGTGTTGACAAATTTGACCAAATTGTCAAAGACTAAAGCCATTTCCTGAATATTTTTATTACATTTTATTTAATTTTGCAAGTACAGAATATTGTTTCAGTTAGCTTTAATTTTTATTTCAGTTAATAAAAATGTTTTTTCACACTAAGTTTTACATTTTAGTTTTAGATGTTTTAGAAGAATAATTAAATAATAATCTTGCTTTACACCACCAAACCCTGTCTCCACGTGTTGTTACAGAAAGTGTGTAGAGAAACAGAGAGTTCTGACACCAAAGGACTGGCCAGCTTAACTGGCTTCACTGGAACGTGGTAATGAAAGGAAATGGAGCACAAGCTAGAGTATCCTCACCCACAACAAATTTGGCGTACTAGTGCTCAAAATTTACGCTAAATGATGAGGAAACTTGTGTCAGTGACTGGGTATTCATCACACTGTGGGGCCTCATGCTCTCACGGTTTTGTTTGCCCTCTGCTGAGAGGACTAATAAAGAAATTTTCTACAGGCACACAAATCTGCCAGTGTTTCTGATTTGGTTAAAAACAAAAGTTAAAATGTGTTTACTGTCTTGAACATTGATGGATCACTTCTGTTTCCCGTGCATTCACCACCTTTCCACTTTAAATCTCACTGGAGAATCTGATTCTCCCTGGTGCTGAAAATCCATTCATATTTGATTGTTTAGTTTGCTGTCATGGCTAGTTAGTAAATTCAACAATTTCTTTGCTTTTCTTTCCAGATGTATGCTGGTCACACAGACTGGAACCCCAGTACATGGTCCTTGAGATCCTTTCCCTCACAGGTCAGTGCTTCTGTCAGTGAACTGGATCCCATTGGTATTAACTGCTGCCACCAGCGTCCCCAGCCTTTACTGCAATTGAGAGAAAGATCAGGTAACAAACATTGCTTCCCCAGTCTATCCATTATTAATCTGGCACAGTCCCCATCTTTCATATCTTCAGTCAGATTTTATTAACTGCCTGGAAGGTGCTGCCCCCTGGTTACAAAAACAGAGATTACAGTGCTTTTGCAAATGGCATCTTCACTTATTCTAAAAGAGAAATCTTTTGTATTGGAAGGAAATCACTATTTTCTTTGTATGTGACCTAATGTACACGAGGAGAATTACTGAGGTTGTTGATTCTATCTGTAGATTCTATACTATAGAAGACCTGTTGACCAAATACATAAGCTATTAACGTGATTAAACCTACTCACATGACCAGTGTATATTGAAAGAGTTTTTGGGCATGGTAATAGTTCCTTCTGTCCATACATGCCATGAAGAGATCCCCTACTAACATAATTTAAATATAAGTGATGAGGGACAAAATCCACTTTCATTGTTCTATGCAAAAATACATTCAAAATTTCAGGGTTTATTTGCAAAATGCCTTCTTTGTGTTATTGTCCGTGCACTGCAGCTATGCCAGAAACATGTTGTGTCTGTGGAAACACAAAATGGAAACATAAGAATGCATTTAGACAGAAAGGGCAGATGGACTGTGGATTTTGTCCCCCATTACTTACTTTGAAATTCACTTTTGTAATTGATCTCTTATGGACCAGTATGGGCAGGAGGAAGTATTATAGTGACCAAAACTTCTTTAAATGTGCATAGTGACATAGGTTTGAAAATATGTGAATCTATCCTTTAAAGGTGACCTATTATGCTAATTTCCAACTCTATATTTTTATGCTGGGGTTCCACTAGAGTAACTTTGCATAATTCGCAGTTAAAATCCTCATTTATCTGATTGGCCCTTAATACGGCCCTCAGTTCATCCTCTGTCTGAAACAAGCCGTTTTAGCTCCTGTCTCTTTAAGGCCCCCCTCCCTAAACACACACCAATACACATTGGCCTCAAAAGACTTTTCCCCATAGACTTAAATTTTGAAAGAAGTGGCTGTAAAACGGTGGATAATTTTGACCACCCCCACAAAATGACTCCTTTCACTATCTAATTAATTTGATTCATTTGGTCCAAAACATTTGGAAAGTCTAGAAGAGCTACATGATTAAATCATTTTATCCCCATTCAAGTTAGCAGAGGACTGAACCGATTCATCGATGCGTTGTCTAAGAAGTACCTCTGCTGGGCGGCGGCAGCGCCCCCCCACCCCTTTAACGAGATAAGCTGTGTACGTTGATAGATAATAGATATTTATTAGTCCTTTCGGAAATTCATAGTGTGTCATACAGCAAACATCAGACCAACAACACCAACAGACCAACAACCAGACAGCTGCTTTACCAACACAAACATCACCCGAGTGCTCTACAAGTTATACTAAGGGGCAGCTATCCGACACCCAGGGTAAGCGCTATGTGCGACAGTAATAAAAATGTCCGTGCCAAACAGTGTGCTATATAGTTATATGGATTAAATGAAGCGTTGATGCAAAGAATTTGTGACGATGCATTTTATTAATCGATTTAATTTACAGACTGCAGGTTGTTATTCATGTGCAGGTGTTGCTCTGCAGTGATAGCTGTGTGCACAGCGCAGTGCACGTGTGTGTGCAGACACAAAATTCCTCACTAGTCTCAATAGCTGTAATTTGGCTGTTAGAGCTGAGCTGCTGATTTCACCTGCTGGTGTCATCAGACACGGATGTCGCTTTACTGTATGTGACACTTCAGAGGAAAGTAAGTCAACAATCTCTAAAAACATATTTCCTAGTTTTTCCTCTCCTCGCAAGATTTTCCTAAGATGCAATGAAATGATGCAAGTGTGGGAAACTTGGATGCGGTTAAGAGACATGGGATGCATCCTTCATACACTCAGTGCTGTGAGTCAGCACCGCCTCATCCTCTTGCTGGTGTGCTCGAAGGCATATGACAACTTTTCTTGGAAAATAGTGAAATGGGGCCCTGTTCATCAGACCACAAATGAGACTAGTGTGTGTCTAAAGTGGTTCTGGGATCCAGTATAGGTACTGGATCTGCTTGAGGCCTCACATATGAAAAACATACAACTTATTCACAAATTATTCACTGATTATGGTGAAACTGGATAACATTTTATGGAGTTTCTAGATCGTCAGATAGCTTTAAAGTAATCGCTAACTTCTGCTAAATCTCTTTGCCTGGACTGGCAGCTTGGAATGAAAGTAGAAAGAAAATGTTGAAAACCTAGTATTTAGAGCCGTCTGAAGCCTGAGCTTTTTGCTCACAGGGATTACTTTTAAATATGTTTACCTCATTGTAACAACATTATAATATTATATATGACAGAAAATAGCATAATAGGTCTTAATGGTGCTTAAATGAATCCAGTAGGCCTATCCTGTGGATTTTTCAAAGAGCTACAATGCCAGATGTAAATGTCACGTGATATCAGTGTGTTCTTTCAAACTGTTCATCAGATGGGCACTCACTTGTGCTCTGTGCTAATACATTTCCTCCACATGATGGCAGTGTGGGACAGTCCATTCTCCTCATTCCCCAAGTTTAATATAACCCTTAATCATTGTAGTGCACTCAATGGTTGGTGAAATCACAAACTTTAATATATTACTCAAAAGATATATTTTCTTTGTCCCTATTTGGTCAGGGTATTGCAGAACTGTGAATAAGAGAGTAATGTATTTTTTGTGTGTATATATGTAATATGTATGTCAGTAGTAGTAGTTCAGTCAAGTTCAAGTAGGTCAGTCACTTAAAACCATGTTAGGAACACAAAAACTAATTAATCAAATTGATTTTATGTCAGAAGAAGGGACAACTTTAAAAACATATAGCTTCCCAGAGACAGCTTTTAGAGAGAACATGGTGTGATTGATTGCATGAACATCAGTAATTAAAATGAGAGAGTGTAAAAGTGATCCAGTTGATATGCAGGTGTTGAACAAAGGCCCCTTTCGCCAGTGTGCAGGTGTGTTGCTAAATGGCTGCAGGACATTGGCATATTCTGCACAGCTGGCAGAAACAGAAACCACCTCTGTTAATCAAGCTATCAAGGAAGTGAATTTATTATTATACAACACAAGGTTGTACAACAAAATGAAAGTTTGTAGTCCCTTCATGCTACACACTTAGAACTTAACAGATATTTAAATGTAAATTAGAACAGGGTAACATAAAATAAATCAAATTAAACCGTGTATGCACCCAGGAAATACTTCTGCAGTGCATTTTCTGAATTTACGTGTAAACAACAGCAAAAAGAAAGTGATGATTATATGGTTTTCACCTTTAGCACTGATACCACAAGTCATTAGCTTGTATTTAGTGACAAATAATGAATCTTAACACGTAATTAAAGCAAAGTTTCAGGTAGGTTTGGGCTTGATGCAACTCGAGCTTTTGAGTGCTAGGGTGTGTGTTTATATGTGTAGGACGAGCATTACATATTTAGTGCATTATTGTCGCACCCAGGGGAGATCCCTGGCCTCTTTAGGCATGTCCTCCATCCTGTTTCATAAGCATCTGCTCATATATGGGCATATTCCTTCCTTCTGCTCGGTTACACTACGTCCGCTTCCTGAGCCCCTCCCCCTCACAGTGTTCCGCCTACTCCCCCCATCACATACACAAAGATACACATACACACTCCTGTTCATGTTGGTTAGCTATGGGCAGAGGCGGGAGTGTCTCTTCCCTGTGCAGGAAGTAATGTGGTTAATACTCATTTGATCACCAGTTCTGATGACTTGCATCCATGACCAGGAAGCCAGCACCGGTTTTACTGTGGACTTTGCGTTTTTGTTTTTGGTGGTTTAATCTGTAACCATATGTTAAGACTGATGGAAATAGCTTATATGCCTGCATGTGAAGCTGTATGTTTCCCTCATGTCACACAAGTCACGCTTCAATTTTTTCATGGAAGAAGGAGGGGGAAAAAAACGTTTTGATCTGTGAATACTTTCAAGCCCTTTAATTCTCATATACTATATCCTTGGCAGCTTCCTTCTGCTTTCAGGAACTACTGTGTAGTCAGTGTTGCTTGTGAAAATAAATCTTAGACTTCTAAAGATTTCCGTTTTTGTGTTATTTATGTGCATGCACCTCTAACTCTTGGAATTCAAGCTGGGATCGGTGTGCACTGGGTGGCCTCCAAGTGCCCTGGATGCATGCAGATACCACTTGAGATTAGCTGCTCAGCTATAATGTAGACACATGTTGGCTTTGAAGTAGGACAAACAGCCTCATCAAGTGTTTTGCCACAAGGCACTCGAAGTATTACTGGTGGACAGCTGGGGCTCCTGAATTCTGTTTTTCTTTAAATTTCTTGTTCACCTGGAAAAATATTTGTAATGTAAACCATATGCTTTTAGATTAGTACTCAAAATGTAGTATTGTGTAGCTTATTAGAACAGGAACATTTCCCGTGTGACGCTTTGTGGGACAAAAACAGAATGTCCTCCCTTGCCAACATTGTGCCTACACAAAACCATTAGTGTGAACAAATTATTACCGCAGTTTCAGATGTATAATTACCATGCCCCCCTCCTTGTTGCCTCCTTGTGACATATTGTCAGCCAACTCAACAACTAGGTCACCGCAGATCCTGTTTCCATGGATAGGATTTTTGCACAACTGCCTGCCAGGTGCTGACTTCACCTCTGTCTGTTGGGGGAATTGCAAGAAGGGTTACATGTATATGTTGTTTTTAGCAATATCAACTGCTTTCCGCTAGCTCAGGGGTATTCAATTAAAGTTAGAGAACATTTCCCGAAGCAAAGGTCCGGAACATCACAAGGACTAACTTGTGTTATTATTCAGTGCCAACGTAATAGCCTAGTTGTATCATATGTTTTTAGTCAACAACTGATTGTCATCATAAAATATTTCAACAATATTTTTCAGTTTTCACATGAAACTGGAGGGACATTAAATAATAATTACTCTAATAATACATTCTAAATGTAAATAAACTAAAGGCTGCAT